GTCTTATTGCTGTCAATCACCCTCGTGTATGGACTGCTAGCTCTCTTCAAACTTCAAATAGATGCATTTCTATCGTTTATCATAGTCACAACCACAGCATTGCACAATTTCCCCAGTGATGCTTTTTTAAATAAAAGGGTTCAAGCGATTTATGGATTAATTTTTTTTTTTCCATTGCTGCTGTTGGACCTTAAAAATACTCACTACAAGCAGAGCCTGATATACATATTTTTTAATGCAGTATATTGTATCATGGTTGTATCAAATCAGATCAATTTATTTTGTTTTTCTTTCCGGCGTCTTGATGTCAGTTTTCGACAAACACAGCTTAGATGTCATGTTGAGAGGTAATGTTTCCACCAGCTGACCTGGAGTTTCAGAATCATCATAAGAGCAAATTGTACACTATAAAAAAATTTATATTGAATTTTTTAAGCTAGAAGATGATTATCTTTTACTACATTAATGTAATACAGGTGTATTTTCTGGACATATACTATGACAGCGCTAACATTATTCACATGGCTGAGAGTTTGGATGTGGATTCTTGTTGGCCGTCACTACATGCAATGCCATTATTTAATATAAAGCAGAAAAATTATACATTTTTTTTAGCAAAAAAAAACCCACCCCTGTAGACTTGAAACACAAGATAAAAAGCATTGTGCTGAAAGACACGACGTTTGCAAAGACTCAGAAAGCAATCATGAAGAGCAAACTCGAACATCAATACAAAGAGGTAGAGAAGAGAGAAAAAGAGCAAAGTCCTCCATGCAGGCGTCAGCTGTTTCTGATCTGATCTCAGCTGATTATTCTACATCGCAAAAATAAAAGAAACTCATCTGGCAACTATAATCTGCAGATTTGGTCAAGGAGGAAATGTGATTTGAAAGAAAAGCAAAAGAAAATATGAAGTGGATGTGGAGAACAAATTTCAACTTTAAAGGGTCAAAGTTTGGATTTTTCAAGTAAGCTTCTGTGAATCTCAATGAGATTTGTTAAGAGAGAACAGTTAGTTAATTTGATTATTTGCACTGAAAATGTCCATATGAGTGGACAGAACATTGTTAGTGGGTATGATTTTCATACAAACTGTGTTTTAGTGTATTTATGGTTCACTGAGTTTGGTGGTTTTAGCAATTCACCACTTTTCCTCCTCCATCAAGAACAGGATGAACTTTTAGATTGTGTTTGTGCAGCAGTCTGGATCTTCACTCGTGATCACCTGATGTGGCAGATTGTCATCCGTCCTTACCTTGTTGGATTCCCACCACTGTGTGCTCACTTCCCCAACAAACTCTTTGAGGCAACATCTTTTTTGAACAAATAGGCCATCTAGAACCAAAAACAACTTCAAAATAATCTCAACTGACCCTGACCCCCACCTGGCCCACACATGACAAAAAAATTAAACACTTTGTCATGTTTCGCAGGGATTTTATTTGATAGACTGGCACAAAGTAGAAGGTAGCTGTGAAGAAAATGGTGAAACATCAAACTGTGGAAGCTGCCAAAGATGGAGATGAGCTGATCCAGAACAATCAGGCTTAGTACCAACATGAAGGACTAGCAAAATATCATAAAAGAATAAATGCATCGTGGTCTGTAATTGAATAACTAAAAACAGGCCTCATGATTTGTCGATTGTTCTGGCAGATCCATAGAGCTGTGTGTGAGTGCATGGAGGTTTATGTGTTACCTTCCTTTACTTTGACTATGTGACCAGTGGGTTGACCTTCCAGCTGAAGCTCATCAGGACTAGTTAGTATCAGTTAATATTGACGTCACACAGTTAACCTGACCTTTTATGTATCGATTAAAAAGCTAATTAGAGCCTCATTTTGATATCTATCTTCATTTTTGCCAAATGTGCTGTATTTCTCTAGTGTAGATGTCCAAAATAGTGAATTTGTAAAAACGAAAAAAAAAAAAAAAAAAAAAGTTAAACATATCAGTTCTCTACACTGCAAAAACACAAAATCTTACCAAGTATTCTTGGTCTAGTTACTAGTACAGATATCTTAACACACTTGAAATAAGACAAAACTAACTCACTAGTGACTTTCCAGCACGACATAGAAGTTAGTGTTAAGTAAACATTGCCTTAAAATTGGGGGAAAAAGTACTTGTTCCAGATTATTTCACTGATTAGACATTTTTGCCTTGTTTTCAGTGAACTGATCTGACAGTGGAACTAGCATGTTTTCACCAATATTGGGGTTTTATCTACTTAAAACAAGCTCCTAAGTTTTGCAGAAAAGTTGTTAGTTTCATCTTATTTCAAATGTATTAGGATATTTGTACTAGATCAAAATTACTAGTTAAGACTTTGTGTTTAACAGTGTAGATTTGATTTACAACAATACTATTAGCCATGTTAGCTTTCTGGAGCATCCCTCTTCTTTCTTAAGATATAAAGACCCAGTTTGCATAAAACCTCCAGTGACAGAGTCACGAGGTGCTTCAGACAGACAGGAGTAAGTAGATGGCCAAATGAATAATAAGGAAAAAGATCCCCAGAGCTTGGCAGAGAGCCTGCAGACAGTCAGTCACAGTATAGATTGAGTTATTAAAATGAACCTTGAGGAGGTGTGCATTTTATTTGCTTTGAAATGACTGAGAAATACATTGAGGGAAGGGAATGTAATCTAAGCAAAGATACAGCAAATGGCAAATTAGCGCCCAGTTCCGTAATCTATTTAATATGAAATGTCATGAGCTGCTTCAACATAAGAGGGAAAAATACTAATGGAGCTTCAACAATAAGATGAAGTAGCATTGCATACAGCCTTAAACCACAGCCACCCACACACTATTGAATCACTGAGGCGACCAGGAGTTTCCAAAGATGTGAACACAAAAGGAGAGAGGGATGGCGGACTCTAGTGGAGAGTCTTTCCGATTCATAGGCAGGAAAAAAAATCTAAATTGTGCAAAAACGACATAAAGGGATCAGTGGAGAACTGTTAGTTAAATGGACAAAAAAAAAAAACTAACTTTCAGTACACAAACTGTCTCCTCCCAATTTCATACCACTCCAACTGGTGGAAGTCATGACTAAATACACCACATATTGATTTACATGTGTACGTGCTTCAGGGCTCTGATGAAGCGTTTCTTTTTTGGACTTAGAATATTTTACAGGTCAGTGCTGGAGCATCCTGCCTATTTCTCATCACGGTGTTTTACAGGAGTCTCTGGAGGGGTGCCCAGGCTTTTATATTTTTGATTAAGTTGAACTAAACTCCCTTTTGGCATAGCAGCTTTTTTTTTTGTTTAATTATTTATTTTTTCCCATTTAAGTAGCCCTGACCTTAAAAGAGAGTTTTTAATGTCTGCCTTCATTGTTTGTCCCGACTTCTCCCACTCGCTGTTACCAGATATGTTGCCACGTCTAAAAACGCGCCCTGCATGAGTCTCAGTGTGAAGGAAGTAAGAACACTGTATGGCAAACATTTCCAATCAAATCTCTAAAGTATGGATGTGACGTTAGATGCGATCCTGTTTTGTACAGTGTGTGTATATTGGGATGAAGGGTGTAAAATTCAGTGTTCTGCAAAGTCAAGGCAAGGTCATGTGACTTTATGATATCGCCGTCTTCCTTAATTTTCTTTTTGATATTTCAGATGAACATCCAGTGTCAATGAAAGTGGCAATGTCAGTAAATAATTATCTGAAATGTTTCAGTCTTCCTCACCACTTTCTCAATCTTTATCGGCGCAGACAGAGGGTTTGCATAGTGTAGCTATATGTTACCATTGGCTCATTGCTGGAAAATTTGAGTTGTTTTCACTCTGTTTCAGAGGTTCGCATGTGTCGCATGTTCTTAAAGGACAAGTTTTAAATATGGAAAAGGGATGGCAGTGATGCATGGATACTGGAAATAGCATAAATTCAAACAGAACTCCTTCTTTCACCTGTTCTGTACAATTATATTATAGATACTTGACGGTAGCAGTAACCCTATCAGTTAGGATTTAAACTTGTATTTAAATGCTGGGGAGGTGATTACTATGTACAGGATCAGGTGAGTCTAATTAACAAAATGCATGACAGATGATGGGGCGCATGAACATGTGGAGATGAGATAAAATGACTAAATGCCTGAAGGTGTAGAAGTCAGTTTCAATTTACTGCAGTCATGTTCTCTTGGTTTTATATTTTAAAATAAAAACAAGAAATGGTTTTAAACACAGTCTAGATAAATCTTATTTTCTTTTCTTTTTTTTGACACTTCAGGCTACTTTTTTGGTTTATCCTATTTATTCTCCTAAGCTGTTGAACTGGCAGTATTTTATTTATTTATTTATTTATTTATTGCTGCATAATACAACAGTTCTGGTCTTTTAGAAATCATTATTATTTATTCTGGCATGGCAGAGGAGTGACATGACCATCATTTCTCTGTCCTGCCTCAACATTGACAGGTTGGTCTTAGTAACATAACTCTTCACTGTCGGTTTGTTTTACATTTCATTTAAACACACTTTAATGTTAGGGCTATGCTGTAGCTCAACTTTAGAAAGTTTTTTCCCCCCCAATTGCTTTACAGCAGAGGTCTGTAAGGCAGTGCAGCTCATGTAAAACTGGTCAGTTGTCAGAAGAACCCTGTCTTTCTGTAGAAATTCAAAATCTGCCTCTTTAAGTTGTCGGCTGATCAACATAATCACTTTTGATTTGATCACTTTGTAAATTGATTGTATCTGCTCTGTTTTAGACCATTTCTCTCTCCTGCCTGAAATGCACAAATATAAATTTCTTTTCCTTTGTCAGGAACTGGTTGTGAGGTAGACACGGTGAACCCAGGCTGAAGAGAGAGAAGTGATGATTTAACGAGTCACAAATACACAATCCAGGCAGCACAGGTGAGGGAACAGCAACGACCCTCACACTGGTAGCAACTGGTATAAAGGCAAAGACATATGACACAATAGATGAGGATCACAGATACAGGTGGGATTAAATACACAGGGAGTAATCAAGGAAACAGGACACAGCTGGGATCAATCAAGGGGAAAACACGGAGACCTAAATAAACAGAAAACTCAAATCCTCAGTCTCAACAGTTTAGGGTCATTCAGCTAAACAAAGTTTTGTCACCACTCAGACCCTTAGCTACTCTTCAGTCTATTAATTTGGGCCAACAGACCGCGTCAGATGCTATACACAAACTGGGTTCAGTTTACATATTTGAGTCGCTGGATTTCAAAGCCAAGTAGGCAAACGGATAAACTGCCAGAGACCAGGAGAGTAGGCAAAACCTTGAGGTGGAGGTGAAATGGAGAAGGCGGATAAAGGAGAGTGATGCCTCTTTAATGGAGGAATCTTTCTGGCATACGATGAAGAATGCGCGGGCTTTTTGCAGGTAGGACATAAAAATAAATACGCTGGTAAAAGGCTTTCATTTGGCAGCATTTAGCTGCTTCTGTTGTTGACAGTATTTCAAGGAAATTGCTGTTTGATTTACTGGAGGGCTAAATTAGGTGTTTGTGCCAACGGGAAGATTTTAAAAATTAGTGGTCTGTGCTTTTTTATATATATATATATATATATATATATATATATATATAATATGTGTATTTGTTCACGTGAGGGAGACCAAGAAAGCTGATTAAAGTTATGTGACCTAGCAAAGAGAAGAAGGGGGGAAAAAAAGTCAGTAAAGTCAAAGGTCCTTTGAGTAGATTTAAACATCCTGTTGAATGTGAGAGCGGCCACCGAGAGACGGATGTTGTCACGGCGATGCTAGCTGGTGTCCAGAGCTTCACAGTCTGTGATATACTGAAGCTATAGATCATCACATATGGATGTATCTATCTATATATGGATGGATGGACCACGATAAGCCAAGATTTATCAGCATTTGTGAGCTGCATGCCGCAAAATAGGATATGATCCGAGTCTTCCTCCTCTCTCCTAACATCGCTGAATACTAAAACGCAGCTGATAAAAAGTCTGGAAAGACGAATCATTTCTGTTTTGAAAGAGAACTGCAACATGGGTGACATCTCTCCCGGGCCCGGAGGGAAACTCATTTTAGCTGCTATTGAGATACTGCAAGCAATCTGTAACCAGAAGAGGAAACGACACAGCTGCAGTGTGTGGCTGATGAGGAGTAAGGAGGGGGGACAGCATCATTTAGTGACACATAGGCTATCTAAATTTAGCCCACCTACTCAAAATGCAGTCTTGACATGAAAACAGATGCAATCATGTCCTTTTGTCAAATGTGGTGGATTCTTCTAGCCGGTGGCGAGTAAGACCAACACAACGAGAAAAAAAGTATTTCTGGACTGTCTCTTTAAATACAGTGCAGTTTACAGTAATATATTCCCTTATGAGAGCCATTAAGACAGAGTTAGGGTTGAAGCTGACATTTAGAAGAGCAAACTCCCTGACTGCTTTTGATCTTAAGGCATTTGCCTGGGTGGCATGACAAACAAAGGTCTCCCCCACTCTTAATGAAATGTCAAACCATTAGCAGAAAAATGCCAGAGTTTACCGTGTTGGATCGGCTCCTTTCACAACACTCTCAACACGTATGTTTGAAGCCCATGTTGATCTTTACATGTTATTTTTGCAGAAAAAAAATGAGAGGAGAGCAACAAGCCAGTCTGTAAAAAAAAAAAAACCTATACATATGTGTGGTTGTAATATTTAGCAGATGAAATGCCAAAAATCTGATCAGATAATTGGCCTTGAGGGCAGAAAATAATGACGGTTGATGAATCTTGTGACAAATCCTAATTCAGTTTGACTCAGAGTCAAACAGCTGCAGGGACTTTTGGAACAAAAAAGGCTTGAAAGCATTATGCAGCATTCATCCATTTTCTACACACGCTTATCCTTTCAGAGTCTTTACCGATCCCCAGTGTTCACTGGGTGACACTCTGGACAGGTCCGCAGTCCATCACAGGACAACACAGGGACACACAGGACAAATCATAATGAATGCACAAACTCATTGGCTATAGACAATGGAGGGACTGAGAATATGCTATGGCCATTTTATTACCTACAGTGATAAAGAGAAGAAAAGAAGAATGCTGGAGAGTTATCCAACATGGAGTCAGTGACACTGTCCATAAGGAGAATAAGTGAAAAATGTCACTGTCAATAAAAGGAAGCCAGCTGGTCACTGAATTCTGTATACAATCATTTTAATGGCATGTAGAGTGGAAGAAAAATGTGCTGAGAAAAAGATGAACCAGAAACTGCAGCCTAAGGAAAACTGAGAGGAAATGCCTATAGGATCTCCACAAGAGTCTAGCAGGCCATATGAAGGCAGAATATAAGCTGTTATTGGATAAAACTACAGACCATAAGGAAAATAGTTAGTCAAGTGCGCCACCCAATGGTCAAAAGTTAAAAAACATGTTTTATGGGGGGCGGGGGAGGGAAATCAAAATAAATACCTTTTAGCACATGTTTAATAGAGTGTCCATCCAGATATTGAAGTAAATGGCTTCTACTTGTATATCACTTTATCAAGTCCAGAAGACCACAAAGGCTACAGCTGTTCCCCCTTTCACTCACACCTTGATGGAGGCTAGAAGCTACTGGATAGCAGCTACAGCTGGGCTCCATTAGGTCCTCTGACCCCCACCTGAAGACAAGGAATCGAACCAGCAACCTGCCGATTGCAAACTCCTTAAGAACACCTTGTGAAAAAATCCACATCAAAATGGAATTTTAAAATGTCATTGTTTAAGCTACAGAAACAAAAAATGGTTTAGGCTTTAAACTTTTTATTTTATTTTAAAGAATGATAAAAAAATTAAAAAAAAAAAAAACAACTTAAAAATGCACCATAATGCGTTTGCCTTTAGATGGCACCAGAGAGTTAAATCAACATTTGTCCAATCTTTCAGACATGAAACAGAGTTCAGGATGTTATTCTTTGGAGTCAGATGATTTTAGAGCTTCTTTAGTTGAAGCTCTGACCAAACACTGGGACTCTGAGTGTTTACTCGCATACCATACAAAATACTAGATATAAACACTAGTCAAATGTCTTTATTTGAAATTTAGGAGGACATAAAAAAAAACAATAAATTAAAACAAATGACAAATAATCAGAAAATTATCACATCAGAACATTTCAGGATGTTCCCTTTGATTAGTTTGTCAAATTAACAGTAAAAAAAAAAAGAGCAATGACACATTCTTCTTTTCTTTCAACCAAAACAAGACAAAGGCAGATTGATAACAAATATGTACAATTACAAACTTTTTTTTTTTAAACATTTGCTGGTTTATACATATGATGCTTAAGGTGTTGACTGATTGATTTAACACTAAAGCTGAATGTTCTTATCATCAAATTCAAAGTCAGCAGATATTAAACTCTCTCTCTCTGTGCTTCCAGTCTTTATTTTGTAACAGCAACTCATGGGTTAAATCTACAACTAATCAACAGCGACATTGCAAATGTTAAGATTATAAATGTTGCGTTTAAAATGGACAAAACATTTTCTGAGAACAAAAAATAAACAAAATAAAGCTCAGAACAAAATTATCTTCTTTTGTTGTTCACTTCAGCATAGAGACCCTCCAGACCGTCAGCAGACACTTTGACCTCTGCGTACAGCGTCTCCTGCTGCTCTCCATCCTGATCGGAGGCGGAGGAAGCTGGGAGGAAGTAGGAAGCTGGGAGGAAGTAGGAAGCTGGGAGGAAGTTCAGCTCTCCATAATAAAGTTCTTCCTCTGTCTTTTCAGCTGTCATTGGAACAGCAGGAGCCTCATTTCTTTCCATCTGTAGAAAGTATATATATTTTAGGTTTTATCTTGATGGTGTTGATTGTACCAAACAAAGAAGCAAAATTTTTGTTCACCTTAGTCTGTTGAGTTGAATGTCTGAACTTGAACAACCTGGAGGACATTAGAGATGTCAGAATGATTCTGGTGCGATTTATGAGACAACAGAAAAATTCAGACTGAGGTAAAGAGTGAAAGCTGATATGAAACATAGATAAGAGGCAAAACATCAAGAAAACGAATGCAAAAGGACAGGAGAAGCTGCAAAAACATTGGTTTGATTGGCAGATTCCAACTTTCACCTGCACATAATTGAAAGTTTCAATTTAGGAGAAAACAATGAATTTTTCCACATTCTTGATTTATAATCAGATCCAGGTGAAATGCCAGTGTTTTTAAACAACTTAAATGCTTTTTATCTATTGATACTCACCAAGCAACAACAGCCATGAGACAAATGAAACAAATACCTCCAGCTACCATGGGAAGCCAGTAAAGAACTGCAGGTGTTGGATGTTGGGAAAACACAATAAGTAAATATTCAAACCTGTAATTATAAGAATTAGATTTTTAAACAGAATGGACTTAATTAAGTTAAATATTAACCTTTCTCTTTCTGTTCATGACTAATTTTCATGCTGATGGAGATCAGTTGTGATCTTTGATTCCCCACATTATTTGTAGCCACACAGTAAAACGTTTCTTCCTTAGTAGCTTTGAAGCTGTAAACCTGCTCCACAGACACATTAAATGTTCCCTCTGTGCTGTTCCTGAACCAGGTGAATCTGGGTGGAGGTTTGGCTCTGCTGGAGCAGCTCAGCTCCACCCAGCTACCTGCTGACACCAAACCTGATGGACTGATGGATGCTGAGGTGTTTCTAGGAGCATCTGAGGAAAATGAGACACATGAACTTTATTGATCACAAACAGCTGAACCATGACCTGCTGACAGGATCACTTACATGAAACACTGAGAGTCACTTCTGTCTCTGCTGTCTTGTTTCCTCCAATCACAGGATATCTGGCAGAACATCTGATGTTGTATCCATCATGTGTGTCTGACAGAGTGATGTTCTCCTGGATTTTAGTTGTAAAGGTTCCATCTGTGTTTTTCTCTGTTTGTCTGAGAGAGTCTTGTTGGAGATTCCAGGTGAGTTGAGGAGGTGAGTGTGGACAGGGAGTGAAAGCTGAGCAGGTTACAGTGACAGACTGATGCTCCTTCAGGTCAGAGGGAACATTAATGCTGGGACTCCAAGGAGAATCTGGGGTTTCACATCAGATGCACATTTAAAATAATAAATATCGATTTACAGATTATTGTGTATGAAATCAGTTAATACAAGTATCGCTATACAATGCTATACTAATTCTATATCCACCATTTAAAAATGTAGTTTGATTGCATGTATTGGATTTCCTAATCATTATTGTTCGTGCAACACATTTACATATTTGCAGAACTGCAGTAACAGTTAAGATGATTAAGAAAAAAAGTTTTAACTTTAAAACAATTTTACTTAACAGAGGATTATTACTAAATAAGTCAAACTTTATTCATGATGCATCTTTCCTGACATTGGTAATAAAACACATTAATTGATTCTGTCCATAATAAAGCAGGATATATTTTAATTTTACACTAACTTACTGTAGATCTATTAAAATGTTATTTATTTTTCTAAAAACATTTAAACTTGACAATATCCTGCCCATTACAGATTTTTCATTCAACATTATTTTCCTTACTGAGAGTTTTGATGTGATTCTCCACAGCTACATCATGATGAATAGCAGAAGATGATAAAGAAAAATAATTTAAATCATCAAAACATTTCTGGACTCAAATCAAACTGTTGAAATTTGGCAGGTTGATTTTTTCATTCCACAGTAAATTATTAACTTTAGTGTTTTCTTTTAAACCAGAGATAATTTAATTACAAACATAAATATAAATGTCACAAACTTATAAAATAAAACCTCTCTTACCTTTAACGTTTATTTGAAGAGGATCAGCACAAGCTGTTGCTCTGAACGGTCCGTTCTCAATCCTGAAGAAGTATTTGTCTGTATAACTTGTATTTAAATCAGGAAACAGAGTGGTGCAGTTTCTCTCTCTCAGGTTTCCAGTGATATTCAGTGGATATTTGTTTACTGACCTACTGCTGTTGAAAATAACTACATTTGAATCACTGCTAAAAGCTAAATTATTTTTCATCCAGACTGCAATGATATTTATGCCGTCGTCAAACTGATCTGTTGTTTTAAAACTACATGGGATTTCCAGACAAGATCCACTCAGAGCTTCAATCTCCTTTGGTGCAGTGATGAAGAGGGCTGGTTGTATGTCATGACAGTATTCAGCAAAAACATCTGTAGAAACAGACAAATGATGAATATCATGGGGACTCAAATCTTTCTGCAGAGAAACTTCATGATCCACAAACTCCAGTTCAGCTGCAGCAGGTTACATGTGGATCAAATATTTCAGACCAGAAATGATTCAAGTGAATGAAAGGAAGAGAACAAACATCTCACCTGGATTGAAGAAGACACTCAGTAACATACTGACTATCAGCATGTTCTCACACAGAGCCGCCATCAGACTCTGATTGTCGTCCTTCAAGATCTTCAATGGAAACATGATGAAAACAGCTGCTTTACTTTGGTGACTTAATTTAAGAAACTCTGAAGCAAAACTATATTTTTACTACATTATCAAATTTATATGATGAAAGTAAATCACCATCTTCAAGTAGAGAAGGTTTGGGTTGTTATAAATTAAACACCTCAAACATAAAACTCAAATCAAACTTGATTTTTGATCATGAAGCTGAGAATGATTCACTGTACAAAGTATGTTAGAAATCATGAAAACTGTAAATATGACAAAAAGTAGAAAAAACATTAAATAAAATTCACAATCATTAACTTACCAAATGGTCTGCAGTTAAAACAGAAATGCTTTAATTTTTTCTAAATAATTAATTTTCGTTGATCAGCTGCACCTCCGATTTTCTCACAGAGAATGACACAGAAAACCAGAGTTGATGTTTAAAGATCAGCTCTGAGGAAGAGGAAGTTGATGTTAGCAACATTCTGCAATCATCATATTAACATAATGTTTAACATTTGATTGACGATACACAAATAAAATATTACATCTAATCTTCTCACTCTTAAATGTAGCACATTATTTAATCCAGGTAAATTACACAGTTTTCTTTTGGCATAAAGACACTTACAGATCTCAGAGATGATGTTTGAGTTTATCTTTTCTCAGCATCTTTCACAACCAGACTAACTTCCTCTTTTACGTCAATGACTCAACTTTTTCTGCATTTCATCTCTTATGCTAAAGAGTTCAGAGGGGGAAGTAAGAAAAAAGAAAAGGCTTCTGTAAATGTTTGCAACAGTGTGAAATTGATAGTCAAAGGAATAATTTTCAGTGACACATCATACAGAAACATAACAGGATGTAATATGTATCATGACTTTCTGATGACATGGCCCACAAACTGGATTGGTTTTGGCCTAAGGACCCGCCGTACTGTAACTCCAGACAGTGATGCTGGTCACTTCCTTTGGTAGCAGAGGAAGCCAATCAATGAGATGAGCACGGCAGAAACCATTTCAAGTTATTTTAACTTAATTTTCTTAAAGAATGAAAAGTGATTATATTTTACAAAAAACATATTTACAACTCATAATTAAAAAAATTTATTGGATTTTATGTTTTTTCCATCTTCCCTCCAACTTTCTGCGGCTCCCATGTCGCCCCCTGGCGGCCACACGAAATGTTACAGTAGCTCTTCCTCCCAACAGCTCTAATACTTCATAACCACTGAGCCCAACAAACTCCATAAGTGTTTAAAACTCTACTATCATTTGCACATTCCTGTTTGCACAATTTCTCAACTCTTCTAAATAATATTTTGTCGTTGTTTTTTAATCACATCTTTTACATTTTTCTTCTCTAAATTAACCAACTCAGCTGCACATAACTTTCAATCTGATTATGCTATTTTTGTAATAACTGCACAGCGTTATCTTTCTTATATTCTAAGTTTGTCTTATTTATACGTCGTTCAATGTTTGGATGTGTTTGTTCCTGCTCACCATGAACCTGCTGTTGTGACACCTGAATTTCCCAACAGTGTCATGTTGTGTAAATTTTTCTTTGACAAAGAGTGAGGAAAAACTGTTTCAAAACCCAAAGAACCAGACAACGAATACATTCTTAATCAGTATTTATTCGAAGGCTCTACAGCGTTTGACGTCTCTGCTCACTGATGGCAGTAAGGAGAAAGAGCCCTGAGCAAAATAAAACTTACAGTGTTTTAGGAAGGGTTTCATTCCATTCACATAGTTGACAAACTACTTGGTTACAGAACATACAGCAAGCACACATATCTTCTTTCACCAGGGGAGTCAAACACGTCATGGGGTGCATAGAAGAAACAGTCTAATAACTTCATTGTAATACCAGGGCCAGAGAAACTTTCTCATGAGGATGTGTGTCACACAAGAATCATAATACTGTTAAGCATTGATTTAGCTCATAATCATAGTAACACTAAAATATATTCTTTCTGTTCTAATGTCACAATGTTTTCTTTGCTAATAAGATTTTCAGTCTGTTGAATGAAGCTCAGGTGAAAATGATGTCAACATCTGACACATTTTACAGAGTCCAGGCAAAGAACGTCACAGAGAGTGTTGGAAGCTGGCATGAGGAAAGAGCAGAAGACTAAAAAAATATGATAATAAAAATAACTCACATTACTTTTCAAATATCACCATNGTGCGATTTATGAGACAACAGAAAAATTCAGACTGAGGTAAAGAGTGAAAGCTGATATGAAACATAGATAAGAGGCAAAACATCAAGAAAACGAATGCAAAAGGACAGGAGAAGCTGCAAAAACATTGGTTTGATTGGCAGATTCCAACTTTCACCTGCACATAATTGAAAGTTTCAATTTAGGAGAAAACAATGAATTTTTCCACATTCTTGATTTATAATCAGATCCAGGTGAAATGCCAGTGTTTTTAAACAACTTAAATGCTTTTTATCTATTGATACTCACCAAGCAACAACAGCCATGAGACAAATGAAACAAATACCTCCAGCTACAATGGGCAGCCAGTAAAGAACTGCAGCTGTTGGATGTTGGGAAAACACAATAAGTAAATATTGAAACCTGTAATTATAAGAATAATATATTTAAACATGATGGACTTAATGATGTTAAATATTAACCTCTCTTTTCACTGATTATATTCACGAGAATAAATGATGAAGTCTGATTCCCCAGATGATTTGTAGCCACACAGTAAAACTCTCCTCCCTCAGTAACATTGAAGCTGTAAACTTTCTCCACAGACACATTAGTGGCTCCATCTTTGTTGTTCCTGAACCAGGTGAATCTGGGTGGAGGTTTGGCTCTGCTGGAGCAGTTCAGCTCCACCCAGCTACCTGCTGACACCAAACCTGATGGACTGATGGATGCTGAGGTGTTTCTAGGAGCATCTGAGGAAAATGAGACACATGAACTTTATTGATCACAAACAGCTGAACCATGACCTGCTGACAGGATCACTTACATGAAACACTGAGAGTCACTTCTGTCTCTGCTGTCTTGTTTCCTCCAATCACAGGATATCTGGCAGAACAGCTGATGTTGTATCCATCATGTGTGTCTGACAGAGTGATGTTCTCCTGGATTTTAGTTGTAAAGGTTCCATCTGTGTTTTTCTCTGTTTGTCTGAGAGAGTCTTGTTGGAGAGTCCAGGTGAGTTCAGGAGGTGAGTGTGGACAGGGAGTGAAAGCTGAGCAGGTTACAGTGACAGACTGATGCTCCTTCAGGTCAGAGGGAACATTAATGCTGGGACTCCAAGGAGAATCTGGGGTTTCACATCAAACATCTTCAGTTAAATACTCCAGATAATAAACTGTTTCTAAAATTTAAGCTGCTTCATTTAATTCCAGACATTTTTCTATATATTTTATCCCAATCCCAAATAATTTATTGTTCCATAGTTTGGATAGTCACATTGAAACTATGTTTCATATGAAAAAAATGAAAAAGAGACTATAAAGATACTATAAAATAAATAATGAATAATACGGTATCAAAAGTAATATTTCTTCTTACCCTTAACTGTTATGTGAAGAGGATGACATACATCTGTTGCTCTGAACGGCCAGCTCTCAATTCGTAGGTAGTAACTGTCAGTATGACTCGTCTTTAAATCAGGAAACACAGTGGTGCAGTCTTCCTCTCTGAGGTTTCCAATCATTTTCAGTGAATTTTTGTTAACTGATCCACTGCTGTTGAAAATTACAGCCTCTGGATTCTTATTGACATTTGACTTATTTTGCAACCAAACTCCATACTTGGGTTTAGTGATGTCATATGTGGAATGTGTTGAACTGAAGCTACATGGGATTTGCAAACAAGATCCACTCAGAGCTTCAATCTCTCCAGGTACGTTAGCAATAAGGACTTTATTGGGACAACCAGTCAAATTACCTGTAAAAACAGAAAAATGTCTAAAATAATGTGGAGCAAAATTTGTCTGAATAAAAAACTTGATGATCCTCATGATTCAGCTGCATCATGTTACATATGGAAACTTTAAACTTCATCAGAATAATTCAGACTAGAAATGATTCACATAATGTCTCCAAATGAAAGGAAGTGAACAAGCATCTCACCTGGATTGAAGAAGACACTCAGTAACATACTGACTATCAGCATGTTCTCACACAGAGCCGCCATCAGACTCTGATTGTCGTCCTTCAAGATCTTCAATGGAAACATGATGAAAACAGCTGCTTTACTTTGGTGACNATTAATTATATGGAAGCAGATCAGACTAAGATACAAAAACAACCACTGGATTATGTTGGGAATGGAAATCCCAATCGATGAATCATAATTTGTATCGACACATGGAGCATAAAATCAGCCAAGAAAAGCATTCAAACTTTACCTATGTTATTAACTTTCAGCGCTGAAAGGAGACGCTTTACCATTACATCTGAGAAGAGTTTCTAAAAAAGTCTGTGCAGCGTCTGAGGAGAAGGAGGAGGGCAGCTGATTATATGGACTGAAGACACTCCCTGAAATCACACCATGTCTCTGTGGCCTGAGAAAATGTTTCTTTTTCGTGAGAAATGGACTTTGGTGTCCAACATGAATCAAAAATGTAACTCTTTACTATGGGCCCTTTGTCTAAAAGCTTGTGACTCTTTCTCGACCTTGGTAAAGCGTCTCAACAACACCTACTGTAAAGTCCTGTTACAATGCGGGACTTGGTGTGAAAAACTTTTGCAAGTTTTCACAATTTATTTGGTTTTATTTTAATGATAAATACAAAACAGCACATTTTATTGAAGTGAAAGTCTTTTGGTTAATTCTTTAATATAATAATGTTTCCTAAAAGCAAAGGCTATCTATTACACCAGACACCAGAGATGATCTTAAATGTGAATCTGTTATAGTTGTACAAAATAATGTTTGCTATGTGAACATCTCTTTAAGGCTGAAGACTTGCACTTTTATGCAGGAGTGGTGATAATCTTGTAATGTAGAATTCTCTATTCTGTTCAAAACAAATTTTATCTTTTAAGGAAATTTGCAGCACATTTTATTCACATTTTTATTAGCTCTAGTTACTTAAAATGGCCTTTTGTTTCATTCCTCAGAAATAAATCCATCAGGTCAGACTTAAGAAAACCAGTATGGTAGTAAAATTCTTTCTGGTTCATGTCTCGTAATCTCCTTCCCTCCTGCTCCCAACCTCTTCTTCCACCACCAATACAAACATGTATTCAGTTCAGCATAGATAAATTAAAATAAAACTCAGTACCTTCATCATAAAATGGTTTTGATGTAGTTTGTGTCCCATACTGCTAGAGGTGCAGACTATCGTTCCCCCGCAGTTCTTAAATGACACATTGGGATCCTGCTGCCACTGAAAAATGGGTGTTCCTCCATTAGGACCAGATACTTACTATCTCTGTGACTGGCTGGTGGCTTATCTTTAAACAGCTATTGGTGCATCAAATAACTGCTCACTCTAATAGACAAAGTCTCTGTTCTTTTGAGACTTCAATCAGAATGTTTTCTTTTACCAACTGAGTTTTGTGCACCATGTTCCAAACCTAACTAAAATCTGATTAAAGATGAAGACCTTTGCTTTGATACAGGAATGGTGATAATCTTGTCATGCGTTAATTTTTCTATTCTGTTAAATTGAAAAAATAAAAACAGGTGTCCCATATGGAGGTGTAGACTGTCCTTCCCCTGAAGTTCTTAAATGAAACATCAGGATCCTGCTGCCCCTGGGAAATGGCATTTCCTCCACTGGGACCAGTTACTTACTATCTATGACTGGCTGGTGGCTTATCTTTAAACAGCTATTGGTGAATCAAATAACTGCTCACACTAATAACCTACCAGAGAGTCTCTGTTCTTTTGAAAGTTCAATCAGGATGTGTTCTTTATCAATGAACTGCACAACAACTGTCTATAGAACATAAATGAGGAGATAATTTGTACAAATCAAATACAGAGGAAGGTGTATGACACCTTTGCCTGACTATTGCATTCTGTATTTTATCTTACTTTTACTGATGTTACAGTCTCTGCGTATCAGAGGAAAGAAAAACTTGATGTAAGTGCATAATATTTATTTTTAGATAATTTTCTTTCATGTTTAATTTATTACTTTATAAGTGTGCATGAGCTAAAAAAGAAAAAAAAAACTTACAGCAAAAATCAGTTGAGGGATGGTTGCTGCTTTTTATAATTATCTTCTGCTCATCCTGAAAACACAATTTTATAATATTCTATCAAAAAGAAGAAAGTGTGTATTTCAGGAAAGTCTATATTGTCTACAGACAGAAGGTAGCTCTGCCTTTTTCTGGGCTGCTATAAATACATCATCATTTTTCCATACTGCATCAAATGAGATAGTATTTGAGTTTTTGCTCATTCTATTTGATACTTTTTGCATGACCTACTAAACTTCTGTGGTAAACCTTGTAACTTTTAAGTGTAAGCTTAGATCACTTGTAGACCATGTAGATTGGTGAAATAATGGTTCACCATGTATATTGGTGTAAACCAGTGTTGTGTATAGACTCATGTCTAAACAAGGGTTACATGTAGCACTAAAGTTCATTTTTTGAGGCAAAACTAAGAATTTTTAAAATGTTTTCCAATACATTTCTCACATACCACAGCCTGGTCCGAGCAGGTAAAGGTCATCCCTCGCAATAATAAGCTGCTGTTGTCAGAAACCATTATCTTAAGTTTTATTTACAAAGCAATTTTCAAAGACACAGCATAATTCACAACATAATTTACAGAACACACAGTCTAAAAAGTCTAAAAACAAGCTTATGAATCAAAATAAAGTCATGACAAAAAAAATCTTGTGAAAACATTCTTGTTCCTGAATTTGGGTCAGAAAATATAGGAGCAAACTCTTCCACAATTTCAATTTACATATTTACATAGCAACATCAGTGTTTGCAATAAGTTTTGCATCTTATATGAATCAATGGCAGGAAACTGAGTTTTCATCGTGGTACTTTTATTTGAAGAACTTTTATTCCTTAGATAAAAGTACTGCAGAAGTTTCTATATCTAGTGAATATGAATTCTATGTTTCAGGAAAATACATAAAATTATTTCACCATGAAGGTAGTTTCCTTAGTTATTGTTTCCTTAAAACTGTTTAAGGAATGTTGATTTCATTCAGAATATATAAAATTATAAAGGATTTTAAGCAAAAGAAACAATGAAAATGTACTACATGGCATGCATCTGCAGCTTTAACCCAACACAGGGCAGGCTGTACACTGTGATGGAGATATTTGTTTCTTTAAAGACCTGTTCCAGGATCTTTGATACTTTTGACCACTGCAGCTGGTCCAGGCCACAGCCAATTCTGAGGGAGAGACACGGGACAAACAATTATTCACAATAAAGAAGAAGATTTAAGGGTATTTATTATAGTTGTTATGTATCCGTAGTAGTTCCTACAAACCAGGGTATTGATATCCTATTGACACCATTTTGTAAACAGTGAGACTTCATGTCTTCCAGACTCTGTCTCAGGCTGACATGTCGGTTTCTGGCTGGCTTTTTTCTATGTGATCTGAGATGCATAATAGGAAACACACAGTTACAAGATTGAATAATGAAGCAACTTTTGGACCTATGCAAACCAGGGGTTTTCTCCAAACGCTAGCTACTTGGAGAAAACTATAACAATAAAGTGCCGAGTTGGTAACAGCGCTTACTACAGCCTTGCTTAACTCCTCTCCATCTACCCCAACACTTGGCTGTGTCACTTTGTGCTTTGGCTGAGTCACTCTGTGTCACCATCCATTTTAGCTGAATTTTTTTTCTTCAAAATTTGTCAAGGGGGACTTCAGTCCAAGTTTATAGTAAACTACAATAAGCTGGGTTTTCTGTTTGCCTCAAAAATGAACTTTTTGATGTTACCAAAAAATACCAATCTTTGCTTTCGTCAACCTATAAAACATTGCTAATCATTTAACATCTTCTGTTGAGACGGACAGTTTGCTTTGTGAGGCACCGCGTCACTGGGAGGGAACTGAAAGGATAACATTGATCATTTATAAGCTTATCAATTACAAGAGGTGAACTGTCTGTTGGTGAACATTAGTGAACAGATAGTATGTGAATTTGTGCAACAAACATTGAAAGAAAAAAATTATATAAAACAATTTTTAAGGGTGTGCTGTGGTGGCTCAGGGGTTCAGCACAACCCACATATGGAGGCTTCAGTCCTCGACGTGGCCGTCGCAGGTTCAATTCCCAGTCTGACGACCTTTGCTGCATGTCTTCCCCTTCTCTCATTACCCTGTTTCCTGATAGTTAATTAACTATCAAATAAAGGCCACTAGAGCCGATAAAACCTTTAAAAAACCCCATAATTTTTAACATATTAAAATTATTTCTAAACAGATTTACCCTAATACAGTAATTTTTGAAAACTTCAATAATTTGTAATAAAAGCCTTAACAGCAACAACAGCAGAAATAATTTTTCATATCAATATGCAGTGAAGACCAGTTGCTGATTTAAACTGTTTGAACATTCCTTGATTTCCGTGCTTAACTCATTCCACAGTTGAGGACTACAAACTAAACTAAAAAGTTCACCTGACCATTCCTAGCAGACAGAGTTAAAACTCAAATCAAGGTTGTCAAAAACATAAATTGCAGGGTTGTTTTTTTATTTTTTTTTTTGGTCACTATCTTTTCGATTACACAGCACAATGTAACAGTACGAATTCACAACATAGATGAATTTGAAAGTTTATAAATTTTAGTAGAGAGAAAAAAATACTTTGTTAGCTTGTGTTTCTGACTTTACTGCGATCACATATTGACGAGCAACAAAAAAAAAAGACTGTCAACTACTTTAAAAAAAAAAAAAATAAATAACTTACTTGCAAAAGGGAGAAGGTAACAGATGAAAGTTTGTATCCTGTATGGCTCGGGTCTGGCTGCAAGTACATCCTTGATCGTAAACTAAACATGTTCTTATTTCACCGATGCAAAACCTTACATTAGACGAAGCAGAAGGTTTCCTGTGTGGTCATTAGCAGGTCAGGGTCTAAGCAAAGTCCTGCCTCTGAGGTAATAAAAAAAAATCTACTAAATTAACATTTCAGCTAAATTGCCCAATCACCTTTTTCATCCTAATGAAGTAAACTGTTGGTGATGACATATTCACTAAAGGGATTTATTATTTAAAAAATTGTTAATTTACAAGAAAACAATATGAAAATGATACATTTTCAGTAAAGAGAGAATCCAAAGTGCTAAAACATTCAGATATACAAGAAAGTACAGTGCAGGAGCGTAAAAAATGTAAGAAAGTAAATAACCGCATATTTCAACATATTCCATTTCTCTAATAGATTGACAATTATATGGGATACATGGTTTATAAAGTTAAGAATTAGAAAAAAAAATCTGAAAAGTGTGGTGGACTTGTGGATCTACTGATGCAGTTTTGCTTCAGAATTGAATTTGGAGACCAGGTCTGAGTAGATATGCTTCTGTGGTGATGTTTTCCTGTTTTCTTTTGTTTTCCTGTTTTTCTATCCAACTTTTCTCCTTTCAGGAAGGTTTATTTCCTACAACACTTGATGCTAGTACACAGTTGCATGCATGTTCTTGCCCTGGTGTTTTGAAGATGGCAACCAGTAATTGAACCATAGATGGTACTAAATGGATTTTAGGAAAGATATTGAGGAAAAATAAGGTTGAACGATTGAATAGAATCACTAACAGAATGGGCAATGCCTTTTTAATTTATTTTATTGTTTTGCTGTGTCTGCCTCTTGGTGCAGACAGGATGATAAAAATGTTCCTCATATGTCTTGTGCAGGTATTGGTAGTTGTAGCGTAAACGTAGAGGTCAGGCATACAGCTTGTTTCAGTCACAGAAAAAAGAAAAAAAAATCAAATATTAAAATAGTAGTCCATAAACAAATATTAAATAACAGACTCTTCTTGTTCCTGTGTGTTTCAGCCTGACACACATGAACAAGAAGATTTTTTAAAGCTGGTTCATTTTGGTTTACAATGAAATGCACAAAGCTAATCTTTAATTACGCATTTATTTTTATATGGGGTCAGGTTTGACTAGAGGCCGAGCTATCAAACTTCCACTCAATCCTGTTATTCTTGTGCTCTAATCTCTATGAAACAGTATGTTCTTTAATCGTTTGTTAGTGCTATGGTGTTTTTCTTTTGTTTCTCTAGATAGGAGAGGAGTTTAAAATGATAAATAGAAAACTACCTGACAGGAAAAAAAAAACTAAAGACACGGAAAGCAATTCTAACTTAATTTAAAATGATTAACATGTACTAATATTAATAATTTTGTACATGTTTGATGGCTTAGTAAATACTTGTTGAGTTAGGGAACAGTAGAACCAGATTTCCTTGACTGTTTTTTTAAATAAGCAACAGCTTAAAGTGGCTGCTGGGTTATCTGATACAAGCCGAGTGCAGCACAGAGAAAGAAACAGCAAAAACTTGTTCATAGGATTAAGCTATTGTAATAATTGTAACAGTATGCTTGTCTTATTATTATTCTAAAATGTATTGATGGTTGACAGTTTACCGGTTCCACATATCTTTGACTTTTACTATTTCCCATCCCTAGCTGGGGTAAAGTGACAGTTGTAAAGGTACTGTTGGTTTATCTGATGCAGGCTGAGCTCAGCAGCTGGAGCTGCACAGAGAAAGAATTCATTCTGTGNGTCTAAAAACAAGCTTATGAATCAAAATAAAGTCATGACAAAAAACCTTGTGAAAACATTTTTGTTCCTTAATTTGGGTCAGGAAATAGAGGAGGAAACTCTTCCACAATTTCAATTTACATATTTATAGGAAAGTTTCATTTTCAACAACTATATAATTTTAGAATTAAAAAAAATGTAGTGACAGAGTGCAACATCAGAGTTTGCAATAAGTTTTTGCGTCTTATATGAATCAATGGCAGGAAACTGAGTTTTCATCGTGGTACTTTTATTTGAACAATATCGCTTTTATTCCTTCGATAAAAGTGCTTCAGAAGTTTCTATATCTAGTGAATATGAATTCTATGTTTCAGGAAAAAATACATAAAATTATTTCACCATGAAGGTAATATGAGTTTAACTATATTCTGATATGAGTGGTGAAAAAGGACACAATGTTGTATTTACCCCTGTTTTCCACCCTCATTTGTTTATTTTACATCAGTGGGATGTTAAAAGTTTTGCATCTAAACATCTTATGGGGAGGTTTTTATAGTTTCCTTAGTTATTGTTTCCTTAAAACTGTTTAAGGAGTGTTGATTTCATTCATAATTTATAAGATTATAAATGATTTTAAGCAAAAGAAACAATGAAAATGTACTACATGGCATGCATCTGCAGCTTTGACCCAACGCAGGGCAGGCTGTACACAGTGATAGAGATATTTGTCTCTTTAAAGACCTGTTCCAGAATCTTTGACACCTTTGACCACTGCAGCTTGTCCAGGCCACAGCCAATTCTGAGAGACACGATACAAACAATTATTCCCAATAAAGAAGAAGAATGAAGGGTATTTATTATAGTTATGTAGTAGTTTCTACAAACCGGGGTATTGATATCCTATTGACACCATTTTGGAAGCAGTGAGACTTCATGTCTTCCAGACTCTGTCTCAGGCTGACATATGTCGGTTTCTGGCTGGCTTTTTTCTTTGTGATCTAACACAAATAATAGGAAAGATACAGTTACCAGATTGAATAATGAACCAACTTTAGTCCTATGCAGTAAAATTGACTGTGGTATATTTACCAGATAGTAGATGAAACGTTGATCATGTGGCAGGACAGCACACTGCCCTGGCATCTTCTCTATTTGGACATACATTAAAAATGCAAAACAGGACATGAGTTAGCACTTGATGTTGATTGTTATTGACATCTGACTTATATTGCAACCAAACTCCATACTTGGGTTTAGTGATGTCATATCTATCATCTGTTGAATTGAATTTACATGGGATTTGCAAACAAGATCCACTAAGAGCTTCAATCTCTCCAGGTACGTTAGCAATAAGGACTTTATTGGGACAACCAGTCAAATCACCTGTATAAACAGAAAAATGTCTAAAATAATGTCGAGCAAAATTTGTCTGAATAAAAACTTCATGATCCTCATGATTCAGCTGCATCATGTTACATATGGAAACTTTAAACTACATCAGAATAATTCAGACTAGAAATGAATGTCTCCAAATGAAAGGAAGTGAACAAACATCTCACCTGGAATGAAGAAGACACTCAGTAACATACTGACTATCAGCATGTTCTCACACAGAGCCGCCATCAGACTCTGATTGTCGTCCTTCAAGATCTTCAATGGAAACATGATGAAAACAGCTGCTTTACTTTGGTGACCTAATTTAATTAATATATATATTTTTTTTCACCACATTGTCAAATACATAATATGATGAAAGAACATCGCTGAGTTCAAGTAGACCAATTTGGATTAGAATTATAAATTGAACACATTCCAGTGAGAAACTGTAATGGAAAAAAAAAAAAAAAAGAAAAAACAGGTGCACCCAAAGGTCTCACAAAGTGGGTGAACCACAGAGAACTGAGCTGTTTTTTTTTATTTAGTGTTGTTTTTTTTTACTTACAGGGCCTGAGCTCCTCTTTTGTCCTTCATTTCATATATGTGTGCGCGTGCGTGTGTAAGCAGGATGTGATGAAGTGTGAAGTATAAAAAGCTCTGTGCATGGGGTGGAGTCAGTGTGTTCTCATCCCCAATCCTTCAACATAACAGAACAATGTCTATTTTTCTAGACCAATGTCCAGTGTCAAAGAGCGGCTTGCTAACAGGAAGTGTGTAAACCACTTATTGGTTTCGCATTTACTGTCAAACAACACATATTCTTTTATATATAAAGACCATCAATTATGAGAAGAAGACTTTTATGTTACAGGCACCAAAACAGCTGTAAGGTGACTTTATTAGAAAACTGATTAAAATGCTACTTTAAATAGACATTACAAAGAAAAGAAGACATTTATATTTGTCTTCAAGTAATAAATTGACAAAAGATTCCTGGAAGACATGTAGAACTTTGCTTCCCATGCAGAAGAAGATCTTTGGGTCTCTAAAGTAGCAAGTATCATAGATAATGTTTGTAAATGACAAGAAAACAAAGATATTCCTCTAGAAAAACTCTATATGAATGCCTGATATTTGAGGCAGGGCTTTGGCTTGGTCTCAAACAGAAGGGAGGGATCTAGTGTAGCATTTATAAGAATTATTTAACTTACTGTAAACATACTTGTGTGTGTAAGCCGGATGTGATAAAGTGTGAAGTATGACATGCTGTGTACAACTCTTATTGGGGCTCTGCTTCTCTGGTTAGTTCAGTGACAGAGTCTTCAAACGCTGTTTGGTTCAAATGAAGCATTTAAGACAAAGTCTGAATTGAATAAATGTGAAGGAACTTTTCTCTGATTTATGGAACAATTTCCTTTCCCTTTTAAAGAATTTCCACCGCAAAATGTAGAGACAGATTCACTATACAAAGTTTTTCAATCATAAAAATTGAAAACAGGGCAAAATATAGAAAACACTGAAAAACATTAACACTAACTTACCAAAAGGTCTGCAGCCAAACCAGATACTGTCCAGTTCTTAACTAATTTTAGTTGATGAGCAGCAGAACAACCACTTCCTGTTACTTTAGAGAGAGTGACACAGAAATTCATACTTGATGTTTATTGGACAACTCTGAGGAAGAGGAAGTCGCATTTATGCAAATTTCTGCTGTCATTTTTTAAACATCTTATTCACACTTGACTCACAATAATCAACTAAAGCAACAAATGTGATCTTCTCACTTCTAAATGTAGCAGATTATTTAATCCAGGGAGGTTTTTGAGCTTTCCGATCACCTGAATCTGTGACACAATCAGAGCAGTTCACAGTGTGAATATTAAATATATTGGGTCACAAACTGATGAATTATTTCAGTGAAATGCTCCTCAAACAACAACATGCATCAGAAGCTTTTCTTATGGGAAGGTTAGAAATAAATGCAGGAATAGTCCTTTATAAATGTATTTCTGTATTCAGGACAGTCCAAACTAAACTACTTTCTGAACTTCTTTGAGAACAACATTATGTAAAAACTCCACAAGAGATTTGAAATTCTGTAAACCATAAACGTCCCGATTTTCAAGGCTTCTTGGTCAACATGGTGCTGAATAACCGGAAACAGTTCAAACTAGATCATGAGATTTTATTCATTTTTATCATAGGTTTGAATTTCTAACAGCATTATGACTTGCTTCTACTGAAATGTTCACAGAATAACATCGACAGATGTCACTGCAGTGTAATGAAGCAGCTGTGGGGGCATACAATGACAATTTAAAAAAAAAAAATCATAAAAATGTCCTTTCTGTGCCATTTGATAATCACAGCAATTTGGATGTTAAAGGACACTTATGTGAAAAAATACACATCAAATTTGAATTACAAAAAAATTTAACTTTTCTTATTTAGAATGATTAAAACTCAAAAACACACAAAGCTTAAAATGTGCACCATCATCTGCTTACCTAAAGATGGCGCAATATAGTTATCAACTCAGAGGCTGTTGCCGAAGAAGAATAAATCAACATTTGTCAAACCTTTCAGACATGGAAACAGAGTTAAATATGTTTTTTTAATATCTATAGTTAGAGCTCTACAAAACATTCAGATCTTTGAGTTCAGATACAAGGAGATGATGGACTGTTTGGTGAAATGTGTTTATTTTAAATGTAGATGAAAATGAAAAGACAGACAAAATAAAAAAAAGATTAAAACAAATTACAAACTTTATCAGAAGATTGATTCTTCAGGACCTTTCAACATGTTTCCTTTGAATCAAAATGTTAGCAATATTACTTGCTGCTAGGCTAACCATAGGTAATAATTTGACTGACATATTTTCATGCCAGATTGGAAACTTTAAGTATTAATTTTCTTTTATTTTCTTGAAAATAAAACACCTTGTATATTTATCCATTTTTGTCAAACAGCAATCAAGAAAAATAACAAATTCAAACTTTCTTTCATCAAAACAAAACAAAGGCAGACAGTTAACAGTTATAATTACAAACATGTTATTAACATTATTTAAACATTATTCAAAGTAAAGCAGAGATTTTAGATTAAACTCTCTCTCTGTGTTTCCACTGAATGAACCCTCAGTTTTTCTGTATAACAGAGACGTATTGGATGAATCTACAATCATTGATGTTAAGATTATAAATGCTGCGTTTCACAACTTTTTCTGGAAAAAAAATAAAACTCAGAACAAAATTATCTTCTTTTGTTGTTCACTTCAGCATAGAGACCCTCCAGACCGTCAGCAGACACTTTGACCTCTGCGTACAGCGTCTCCTGCTGCTCTCCATCCTGATCGGAGGCGGAGGAAGCTGGGAGGAAGTAGGAAGCTGGGAGGAAGTTCAGCTCTCCATAATAAAGTTCTTCCTCTGTCTTTTCAGCTGTCATTGGAACAGCAGGAGCCTCATTTCTTTCCTTCTGTAGAAAATATACAGATGTTTTAGTCTTTTTCTTCATGGTCTTGATACTTCCAAGCAAAGAAGTTAATTTTTTGTTCACCTTAGTCTGTTGAGGAGTTGAACGTCTGAACTTGAACAACCTGGAGGACATTAGAGATGCCAGAATGATTCTGGTGCGATTTATGAGATAACAGAAACATTCAGACTGAGATAAAGAGTGAAAGCTGATATGAAACATAGATAAGAGGCAAAACATCAATAAAATAAAAAAGGACTCAGGGAGACATTGGATTGATTTGCAGATGCCAGTTTTCACCTGTACACAATTAAACTTTAGGAGAAAACACACAAGCTCGAATGTTGTCACTTTTTTATGATCAAATCCAGGTGAAATGCCGTGTTTTTAAACAACTTAGATGCTTTTTAATTTTTTATACTCACAAAGCAACAACAGCCATGAGACAGATGAAACAAATACATCCGACTACAATGGGCAGCCAGCGAAGAACTGCAGTTGTTGGATGTTGGGAAAACACAATAAGTAAATATTGAAACCTGTAATTATAAGAATAATATATTTAAACATGATGGACTTAATGATGTTAAATATTAACCTCTCTTTTCACTGATTATATTCACGAGAATAAATGATGAAGTCTGATTCCCCAGATGATTTGTAGCCACACAGTAAAACTTTCCTCTCTGAGTAGCATTGAACCTGTAAACCTGTCCTACAAACACATTAATGGCTCCATGTTCGCTGTTCCTGAACCAGGTGAATCTGGGTGGAGGTTTGGCTCTGCTGGAGCAGCTCAGCTCCACCCAGCTACCTGCTGACACCAAACCTGATGGACTGATGGATGCTGAGGTGTTTCTAGGAGCGTCTGAGGAAAATGAGGCACATGAACTTTATTGATCACAAACAGCTGAACCATGACCTGCTGACAGGATTACTTACATGAGACACTGAGAGTTATTTCTGTCTCTGCTGTCTTGTTTCCTCCAATCACAGGATATCTGGCAGAACATCTGATGTTGTATCCATCATGTGTGTCTGACAGAGTGATGTTCTCCTGGATTTTAGTTGTAAAGGTTCCATCTGTGTTTTTCTCTGTTTTTCCAACAGAGTCTTGTTGGAGATTGCAGGTGAGTTGAGGAGGTGAGTGTGGACAGGGAGTGAAAGCTGAGCAGGTTACAGTGACAGACTGATGCTCCTTCAGGTCAGAGGGAACATTAATGCTGGGACTCCAAGGAGAATCTGGGGTTTCACATCAGATGCACATTTAAAATAATAAATATCGATTTACAGATTATTGTGTATGAAATCAGTTAATACAAGTATCGCTATACAATGCTATACTAAT